TACTAACAACACAAATTGGTATTCTTTTTCTTAAATAACATCACTTTTTGGTGCTGTTGTTGGCTTGCATCCAAAACGAACGAATAAACAGCTGCTCATATTGGAGGTAGAGAATTGGATGTGGTCATGAAATGTGGAGTCTGGGAGTTAAGGCGAGAGAATCGATATACTGGGTATTTAGAATTACAGAATCTGGCAAGTGATTCAGACGGGGACCTCTTGTTCGCGTAATGATGAACTGAAGTCATTAGCGCTAGGGGTATGGCTTTTTAAGAATTTAACCCTTCAGCGAAAAAAATGTAGCTCTTAATATTTGCCTCTCCCCCTCTCTCCCTCTGTCTCTCTCTCTCAAGTCGCTTCTCTCCTCCCCCTTTCCTCACCCCCCTCTCTCTCTCTCTCTCTCTCTCTCTCTCTCTCCCCCTTTCTGTCTCTGTCTCTCTCCTCCTCCCCCAGGCCGTCTTGAAATTCTTAGTCAACGGTTAACTTTGCAGGCTACAGGGAATTGGAGATTATCCTTTTATCCCTCAAGGGCTAGACAATTTTAACACTAATAAGAACACTAACAAGGGCACACTTTTGTTTCTTTAGCATCAAAACAGAATAAATTTTCCATTAGATTTTGTACGACTGATGGATATTCTGTGGTTATGTGAAACGCACTTTCATTTTTAAAGTCAGCATAATAAATGTATGGTGAAATGTAAATTATCATGCTCAAAACACAGAGCAAAAGAACACAGAGAGGAATACTAATTAGAGAGAATTGGAGAGACAAAGAGAGGGAGAGAGAAAGAGAGAGAGAGAGAGAGAGAGAGAGAGAGAGAGAGAGAGAGAGAGAGAGACGTATAAGAAATGACTCTGTCTATCAACAATGAGACTATGAATAAGTCGACTGGCAGAACCTATTGGGTGCTAGTCCCTTGTATTTGCTCCACAATTCTTGTCATTACGGGAGGAGCGACCCTTGAGGACCATTTTCTATGTTTGTTGCCCAAGATCAAATCTAAGTACACATATAAGTTAGGCATAGTAAAATCTCTTGATACGTAATTTTATTTTGGCATAACTACAGTGGTTGCTATGGAAACGGCCGCCATCTTGAAAATAAACAATGAATTTCAAATCCCTAAGTCTTTCTTACTTATTCACCAAATTAGACTAAATTTGGCGAGAGTTTACCTGAACCAGACTCTATCAGAGTAACAGCAAGTTTTTTTCAATACGTGCGAAAGAAGAAAAAAAAGTGAATTTTCTCAAAGTATAAAAAACGTTTTCTAAATTTAGGTTGCGTTATCGCTTGCAAATGGAAAAGTGTTATTGTTTTCGCAAATACCTCTCCGCGACACTGATGGCAGCCTTTCCATCTATGTTTCCTGAAAGTTTCATGTCAAAAGGACGAAAACAAAGGAAAGAGTAGGGAAAAACAGCAAAATAATTACATTTTGCGAAAGACGACAATCATTGTGAACATTCACTATATTAATACATCCTTATGTTTTCAAAGGCAATTTACGAGAAGAATAAAGACTTTCTCAATTGTATCCAGGTTATTTTTAGACAAAAGACTGGTTGATCTTAAAAATCAGACAACATAAAATTTGCATAACCTGAGCCAAAATCTGCAAAATCAAGGGTCGCTCTCAGAGTTGGTGTTTGTATGGTGAACTCTTAGAACACCCGTGGGGACGCAATTTGGAGCTTCGTGTGCATGTTTTTACATGGGTACCAGAGTCAGTGAGTAAGACTGAGAGATAGAAAGAGAGAGAGAGAGAGAGAGAG